TCTGCAAACGAGCTGCCTTCACTACAACGAAAACATAGATCCTATCCTTCATTTCTTCCATGAAGCAAAAGTAAACATGTCTCCAAGACCTCTTGATCACCAAAGTTCCACAGACAACCCAAAATCCCACCACAAAACCAAATGCCACTCCTGTGTAGAACCACATCTTCTCAGACCCAATTTCATCTTTGTTCTTGCCAGTATTGCCCTCTGGAGCATCATTTTTGTGTGTTGAACAGATTGTCGGTAATGGAGCTCCACAAAGTTTTGGGTTTCCTTCATAACTGGATGGATCGTTGAAGGTTAGGAACTGGTTTGCCGATGGGATTGGTCCAAACAGATCATTATGAGACAAGTTCAAATGGCTTAACGATGTCATAGACACCATGCTTGCTGGAATCGGGCCTGAAAGATGGTTGACTGAGAGGTCTAGAGTTTCGAATAGCTGCAAGTCTCCAATCTTCTGGGGGATGTTTCCTATTAACCGATTCCTAGATAAGTTCAAGGTACCCAAGGCAGAAAGCTTCATTATCCCCCCTGGAATCACTCCTTCAAGATTATTACTTGACAAATCTATCAAATTTACAAGATCAAGTATCTGAATGAATTCAAGTGTTTGCCCTTTTACATTAAATCCATATCATCCCCATATTGACCATAACCGTATCCCATAAAAGAATTATTTTTCATCTGATGCAAGCTGCTTAAATTGCCTAGACATGAAAGAATCAGCCTTGACAAATTATTCTGCCCTAGATCTAGAGCATGGAGATTAGAAAGGAAACACAAATTTTCTTTCCCCTAAGCATGTTTCCTACCAACTTTAGTATTTTTAGACCTGTTAGAGTTTCTCCAATCCACCTTGGAATGTTTCCAGATAATTGATTGAATGCAAGGCTAAGTTCCAACAAACTTGTGCAATTCTGTAAGGATGAAAGCTTTCCATGAAGATTGTTGCCATTCAATTTCAAATAAGAAAGCTCAGATTGCAAGCACAATGAGCTTGGAATGTGGCCAAATAGATTATTGTTGGAAAGATCTAATGCCGACAAAATTCTTCAATCTCTTCCGCACAATGTTTTGAAAATCGGATCGGACTGGTCGGTTGGACCGATTGAACCGACACCCAATGGTATAAATGGTTTGGTTGTATTTTTTAAACTGTTTGAACTGTAAACCATTTAAAATCAATAAGAACCGTTGAACTACTCAAATCAATAAACAATTCAACCGGATGGTTCAATGCTTGGACATAAAATCTTCAAAAATTTGTCTCTCACGAGACTTAAACTCACAATCCACTAGGATGATGCAATTCTTGTGTCATTGAGTGCTTGGAATTTTACTTATCTATAATAGAATTCTCAAAACTTTTAACTAAATTATTGATGACAACCATGAGATTCGAACACCCATTTTCCATGATATAAAACAAAGACTCTACCACTTGCTATTTCTTTACTTTACAATATATTTATTCTATCTTAAAACCACAATTATATTAAAGTTTGTTCTTACAAAGGCTCGAACTTATGATCTTTCAAATGTTAAATCAACTACCTATTACTGCACCCAACTAACACTTTATGAAATATTTTACAAAATAATATATTTATAATAGTTTTATCAACCTGACGGTTTTACCAATTAAATCAATTAAGCTGATCAAATCGTGAACCAAAAGTCAAAATGGTTTGACCTTTGGTTCGATTTAAAAACATTACTTCCACGAAGGGATCTTTCTAGAAAGTTGATTCTTTTCTAGAGATAAAACTTATAAGCTCTCTAACTTACTTATCGTAGAAGGAATGCTGCCATTGAGGTGGTTCTCAGAAGGATCTAGAGATTGCAAACTCAACATATCTAGTCCAAAGTTTGCTGGAATGGATCTGAGAGTAAATTGTGCCTTAATGTAAGAGTAGTGACACCAGAAAAGAGTGGAATCGTACCCTCAAATAAATTAAAACTAAGGTCTACATTTGAATCTGGTGCAAATTT